AAGAGAGTCAGGAAAGCAAATTTTTATATTTTATATTTTATTATACACAATGACTACAGCACTGAAAATGAGGCGAAAACTACTACAAAACAGTTGAAAATGAATCTTGTGAAATGATAAAGAACAAGCGTGGTTGTGAAAAAGAGCTAAGAGAAGATATCCCATAACATTAATATAAGTTCAACATTTTTAATGTATTGATTGGTTTTGCCAATTTTTTAAATCTCTTTTTCTTTTCTTTTTAAATAAAATTCTTTGTTATTCAGGATGACTTTCTGGGAGGGGGAAGGAGACAAATACATAGGAAATCCAGGTGATTTAAAAACAAAAGCTATCAATAAAAATCTATTGAGAGAAAAAAAAAAGAATGGGCAGATAATGGAAGCAGTTCCATCACTGTATCAGGACACATGTAACACTGTTCTTCTTGCCCACCATTTTGACAATTGAACGACAAGTCTACTCTCATTTATCTGTATTATTAGAAAGGAGCATTGGTGGTAATAATAGGTTATCTATAAGTCATTTGTAATTGACTCTGGCTTGCATTATATGCTGGAGATTTACTTTTCCAATTATGTTTTGTTTAAGCTAATATTAAAAGTATTTTGTATTCCCTGTGCATACACCAAATGGTATTTGTGGTGGAAGACTTCCACCAAACCATACCATACTGGCTAGCAAGGGTAAATGAGACAGGACTTAGAAATTTACTAAGTCAAATTTACCAAATATCTAAACCACATGTGGATAACCAATGGTTGACTGCCAGGGAATTATGGATATGTCATAAAAATGAAAGTGAGGGAAGGAACTTTATTTTTTTCACAAACAGAAATGTGTGTATGTATAAATACATGTATGTTAATTCCTAGTGCTTTGGGTTTTGTTCTTATAAAGCAGATACAAAGAGTTCAGGTCTCAGATGCTTTCTTTTTTAGTGTTCATGAGAAAAGGAGTGGAGCTCTATCATGTCAAATACCAGGGAATAGAGAAGAATGACAGTAATCTGGTACTTTATAAATTTTATTACTAAAGCCTTGATAATACAGACAGAGTTGATTTGATAATCAGTAATTTTGTCCTGTGACAAGCACAAAGTCTGAGTAAAAAATGGTTTGCTCTATAGAGCTAATAACATCTCCCTCCCCAATTTAGTATAGCAGGGACCAGAATGATTACAGTCTTTTTCATGCAGGGAGGAAAACTACTCTAAGATCAGTGGAGAGTCTTTATCTCAGCATAGGATATTGGGAATCCTAATGGCTTTATCATATAGAACTCCCTGGGTTGTTCAACTCATTTAATCGGAGAATAATGCCAATTAGGTCAAGGTCATGGGTTCCGGGAAAAACAACCAAAAAACTGTTCCTCAGTCACAGACTGAATCCTGACTCCAGCCTGTCATCTCATAGGTCACATGGAAGACTGGCTCAATAGAAACTCATCACTACTACAAAAACAAATCCAAATAACAAATCCCAATCATGTTGGATACACATATAAGAGAGACTAGTTGGTTCTCCAGCGTGATAAATAGAATTCATGATCTTTCCAATTTAATGTTAAATGTAATTGATTTAAAAATAAGATTCATTCTTATTCATTGCCTTTTCCTCCTCCTCCATTTTTGCCCTACTATCTTTCCAAATTTGCCAGTGGAAAATTTACTTCCTTAGCACTGGGATGAGCTTTCTATTTAAGTATTTAATGAAGCTTCAGAAGATTTAATTTGCAGAACCAGCCAGTAGCTGTTGCTTTTGATTCTGTGATACCTCACACTAATGGAAGTTGTGGTTTGTGCAAAGACTCTTTCTGAGAAAGGGTTAATTTTCAGTCTCCACACAGGCTGATTCTCAGAAGAGAGTTTAAATTAACTAGTGTCCTAGTGGTGATGCTGCACTGACTAGGCCATTTAAGTGGTAAGGTCCTTAACTCATAGTGGTCTGGCTACTGGATGAGCAGAGCAAAAAAGTTGCCAATTAACCAGTATAAAAGTGGTATTTTAGAAGTGAAATTACCTTTATTTGTAAGGTCTCTCTTCTCCTCTGATCAAGTTAAAGCCTCTTGAACTGTCTTTGTGGGGATAATTCTGTTTTTATAGCCTTAGCACTAATGAGTCTGATTCATGACATTGGACATTTTCATTGGGGTCATCAGTGAACCTGCAAACATTTAGTCTTAATAACAACAACATAAACTCCTTAGATGCTACTTCCTGAAGAAACCATGTTACAATATTAGCCTATTGCTAGTTCTTAACTCCTCATTGAAGGTTTTCCATTTCAGCAGTGAGATAGTTAACTCTCTGGTTTATAATCCAATAGCAATACAAGACAATTCACTCCTTTGTTTTGCAAGAAAATGTTTCTTGAAAAGAAAGAGCAAACTTCTTTCATTTCTCTTAATTTCAAGTTCTTCAGCAGATAACTTTTACTTATTAGGTACTGTTGTATTATCTTGTCAGCAGAGTTAGGATTCTAGAGGAAGGCATCAATTTCAGAGGAATTTTTTTTTATCTTTTTTTGAGAAATAGAGATGGTAAATCCAAAGAGCTAAAGGAAGAAGTACTTGTCCATGCCTCAAAGAAAAATAAAGAACTTGTATTTATTCAAGAATTAATTATGCCCTAATCTCTTCGGTGAGAAAGTACTCAGACCATCTGACTGATCATTAGCACAGAAATTTGGTTTGAGAGTCTTCCAGAAAGTTGAAATTAAAGAGTTAACATTTCTCAGGCAATGAATCAACTCCAGTTCAAGACCCTACAGGAGATATTTTCCCTGCCCTGGTTTGTGTCAGATTTGGGCCCAATTTGTAAATTGAGCGATTAGAGTGTGAAGAACCTATAATTAGAAGTCCCAATATGGATATGTACCTGTCTAAAACAGGAACATTGGTCCCAGTTAGTCAGAGCCCAGGCTGGAAATTATAATCTAATGATCTCTTAGAATTTCAAGTCTATTTTTTTCCTAAGGAGTCAGTAAATACTAGTTCATTGCTACTTTACTGAAACACAGCTTGGATGCTTGGATTTGATTTCATGCTTTCAACACATTTTTAGGATATCTAGCAATTCTAGAAGGGTTTATACCATATGGTCCTGATAAAGGGATAGATTTGCACAACATGGTAGTTGGCAGGAAAGGGCATGAACTGAATCAGGTGTGGGTGGGGGCAAAGGAGTATGGGGTAAACTCTCTAATATTATCCAAAATCCCTTGTGAATTATATAGAAAAGTGATCTTTTAAAAATATTTTGTAAATTCATATTTGAAAAATCTCATAAAAATGGTTCTCCCCCCCCAAGTTGTTAGTATTTCAGATTACAAGGTTAATTCCCCCAGGCTTTTTTTCAGGGCTACTCGTTTAATGATCAGAATAGAGAGACTAGAGTCTGGCACAAGGTTGAGATTTCATAAACGTTTGTTAATTGTTTGGTTGACTGGAATATTAAAAAAAAAAAGGTACCCCATCATCCCCAGGGAAAGTCAACAGGAGCATAGTCATAGAGGCACTAAATCTCTTTATTCTGTAGATAAGGAAATTGGGGGCCAGAGAGGTTGTAACTTGCCCAAGATCACTCATCTGTAAGAAGCAGAACTGGGATTAGAACCTAACTCCAAATTTAGTGCTTTTCTCACAATATCACACTTCCTTTAAGAAATGTTTAAGAAGTAAGGTAGATCAGTGTCTTGTCCCCATAAGAGGACTCCTTGGCTAGGTCTAGAATCATCCTCAAAAAACCAAAAAATTAACATTCATATAACACTGTAAGGTTTAGAAAGCTAACACTGTAAGGTTTGGAAAGCTAATTATCTCATTTTCTATTTACCCAGCACTACTGGTCACACCCTACAACAGTATTATCCCCATTTTACACTTGGGAAAGTAGAGGCCAAATAGCAAGTAATAGTGTAGTAGACACTAGTAAGTGTCTGAGACAGAACCAGAACCCAGATGTTCTTGGCGTCAAACCTAGCACTCTATCCACTGCAAAATGATAGAAATGGAAAAGGCTTTAGTCAGATGAGGAAACAGAAGTACTTGTCCACGTGTAACCAGTTCTTTAAAGTCTAAGTGAAGGCAGCACAGTCAAGAATGAAGTGGGATGGGCAACAGTGGAATGGTTAATCAACGCAGTGGAAAGTCCCCTGGTTTTAAAGTCTGAGGACCGTGGTTCAAATTCTTCTTCATTTACTACCTGTGTGACCTTGGGCAAGTCACTGCATCTCTGGGCCCTACTTCTTGATCTCTAAAACGAGGAGGTTGGAATAGATGCTCTCTGAGGGTCCTCACAGCTTTAAATCTGAGATACTATTAATAGGAGACCAGGAGAGAAAATCTTCGGTTTAAAATTGGTGGCCATTTGGAGTAGGGAAATAGTCGATCGTTTGAGAGATAGGAGGTTTGACAAGTGACTTTTGTCGGAAGAATAAAAGGAAATTGCTGAAGATGAAAACAGTGCTTTATCTCAGTTGGGGAGGGAAGGCGATTACTCTTGACCTAACTTGGAGTTAGAATTTGGGAGACCTGAAATTGAGTTTTAACTCTGCAGCGTTGTCACGTAGGGGTGTACTGACAGTTTATATTCGGCCCCTCAGATTCCCCCATCTGCCTAGGGGACAGAGCCATAACCCCAGAGCCGTGCTTATCTCTAGTCTGTTTCACTAAGAAGAGAAAGGAATAGGGTTGTGCTTTGGAAACACTTGGGTTGTCTTTCAAACTGAGGAGGCGGGTATACGACCAAGGTCACCCCCACCCTCCCCAGAGACCCTTCCACCGGGATGCCTGGCGGCGTGGGTTTCTGGAGCCGGAAAGAAGTGAGGCTCACAGCACGAGAAAGCGGGGGTGCCCGCCTGCGCCGTGCCGCGGGCCCCTCCCTGGCACCGGGGTTCCGCGCTGGGCTGGGCTCCAGCGCGCAGCGGGTTAAAGCGCGGCGGGGGCGGGCAGGCAAGGGGAGGAGTGTTTTGCGGGCTGGGGGTGCGGAGCTGGGGAGGTGTGCAGAACTCGGCACTCCCGACTCCTTCTTCTCCTCCCGGCTAGTCTTAGTGCCCGGCTGTCCGGCGCGCAGGGGGTTAAGCACCTCCCGTGCAGAGCGAGGGGGCTGAGCTGGGGAGCTGCAGCTCGGTGCTCGCATTCAGATCCGCTAGAGCAGGAAGATGGCGACGGACGGGGCAAGCTGCGAGTCTGACTTCTCCCGCACCACGGAGGACCCAGCGGGAGCCCCGGCAGCGGCGGCGGCGGCGGCGGTAACCGAGCTCCAGGGGCTGGCGCGTTGCGGGTGGCGGTGCGGGGTGCTGGGGCTTAAGGTGGCGGGTTCCGCGGTCTACCAAGCACTGAAACCTTCCTCCCGGGAATACCTTTCGTCCCCACGCCACACCCCTGCAACTGGAGGTGGCCGGGGCTTGCTCCCGATCTTCCCCTGCAGCTGGAAAGCACCCCTTCCGTTCCTCCAGTCTTCCTTGGCGATCCTTCCCTGCGGGGCACCTCTCGGGAGCCCGCCCCTCTAGCCGCCTGCACCCGTTCCCTAAGCTTGCTTTCCCGGGTCCCACCCTCTTTGCACGCCCTCCTCCTGTTCTCCCCTAACCCTTCCCACTCTCCCCAACCCCAGCTGGTTTGGCCGAGGGTGAATTGTGTTGTATTTCCCAGCGAACTTGACCAAACCCTATTGTTTGCATCTCTGCCGCGCGTGTTTGTGGGGTGTGTGTATGTGTATGTATGTGTGTGCGTGTATGTGTGTGTATGTATGTGTTGGCGAGCCTTAGAGGTGGTCGCTTGTCACCTAGCCAGGGATCTCAGAAATATTTGGAGAAGGGGATGGAGAAGAGGACGATCCATGGTTAGGTATAGGACAGGTGTGCAGCTGCCTATTGTGTGTTTGAGGATGCTTGGAGATGCCTCTGGGGAAAGTCACTGCAGAAATCCACGAGTGGGTTGGGCTCGGGTCTGCCAGTGACCGAGCATTGGCACTTCTTTTGACTCCTTGAAACCCCCTCCTCACTCTTCCCTTTTCCCCCTTTTTAAGTGCTGACAGAAGCTTGGGGTGGGGGGAGGGAAAGACTAACAGAGACTGAAACAGCGAGAGACAGGCTTTGACGGTCTCAGGACGAGGTTTTGACATTAAATCGCCTTCGTTTTTTTCTACATGCCCCGTGATACCTGCCCCTCTCCTCCTCCGCCTGCATCTTTTTACCTTGTGGGTGGAAATCAGAGCAGGTGACAAGCCCCTGCGGTTGAATAGAGCTGAACCCCACGTAATGGGTGGAAAATGTTTTCAATATTTGAGGAAACAGCCTGGCTGTTTAGAGCAGCATGGAGCCTGTTTAAAAAAAAAAAAAACAGCTCTGCCTGCCTGCCCTTCGCCCCCCCTCTTACTTTAGTTATTTCCAGTGTGCGGTTCTGATAAAGTGAAGGAAATAAGAATTTCTGTCAACGCTTCTGTTTTGTACCATGCAGTCTTCCTTCTTGTTTCTTACTGCTTAAACTGAGCTTACGTTTCGGTTACAAACAGGGGACGGGGCCAAGAGTAAACAGCTAAAATCTTTTCAACTTTCCCTAGCTAGAAAAGAAGGAAGGGGTGGGGGTAGTGGGTGCATGGCGGTAACAAGGAATGAAAGGAGAAATATACAAGAGAAGTGAGAATTTGGGAGAGAAGTAGGAGACCTATTGATTTCTACTTCTGCAATTGCTAGATTTTGGTCTTTAGGTTTTTATTGACATGGGAATTTTTTTTAAAGGCATTAAGATTGCAAATGAAATAGTCCAGTTTATGATGTGGAAAGCAAACCATTAACCCTACGTGAAACACAATCGAGACTGCTGTTAAGCCAGAAAACAATTATGTGTTACTGAAAATGACCAGGGATCTTCATGGTGTGATGATGGATAAGGCGAGGTAGTGAAGGTGAAAAAGAGTTTTGTCTTTTTTCTTTTTTAAAAAAAAAGGTTTACTTTTTAGGTCTCGTTGCATACTTAGAATGGGTTTCTTTGTTATGAGCCTCAGGACTTTAATCACCTACTGAAAGTAAAGCAAAACGTAAATACATGATTTATGGACTCTATCTGATTTATTTATTTGTTTAGGCCATAGATCCAGATGACGATGATTAGGTTGATTTTTGTGATGTTGATGTTAATTCTCTTTTTTGTTGTTTAATAATTCATAAAATCCCAGGAGCGTGTGTGTGTGTGTGTGTGTGTGTGTGTGTGTGTGTGTGTGTGTGTGTGTTCAATTAGTTTGAGGTTTACTCCTGAGACTTGCCAAAGAAATCTTAACCTGCTTTTTATTTCCAGAGATTCCTTTAGACTAGATATATTTTGGTAAGGTTAATCTTTTAGCATTTTACAACTTATTTTTTAAGTAACCCCTCTGTTTTTTTTTAATAGCTGGGAAAGCTTTTTTTTTCCTTTAAAAATGTTTTTTTAAAGGTTTGTTTACTCATTATGTCACCCACTCTCCATTGTCAGTTGATGCCCTGAAGGCTAATTTTAAATTAAAGTAAGAGGAGCTGGAGAGGTGATATTTTCATACAAATGTAATTTATCACCCAGTGTTTAAAAGCAAGAGACATTTTCACACTCCTACATATTCTTGGCTGATTGAGTCCTTCCTGCTACGTTTTAAATTCTGTATATTTTGGAAACTATGGCTTTTTATATCTTTTTTTAACATAGTTTCCATTTTATTTCAAATTGGGTGTGTATTTCTTTTGCTAATGATGATTTAAATGATCCTTAAAGGCAAAGTAGGCTATTTTTTGGGAGTTTTTTTTTCTGAAAGTTGATCTATTTGGATGGTTGCCTGGAAACAAGTTGAATTTATAGTTTTTCAGTTTAATATGATTTCCAGGGGAGTGTTTTTAATTCAGGTTGTGAAAGTTTTGTTTAGCTATTTAAATCCTAAAAGCATAGCTGGTGCAATGAAAGGAATGGTAACAATTAAGTCAGCCAGTACTATTGGTGCTATCGTATCAATTATCAAGTGCTGTCAACCATTCCAAGGATCCAGTAGTGTTTTCAATTTCTTAGCCAAATATTGTGATTCTGGGAATTCATATTATCATTCCACAGTGGAAATAACTCCTAATGTATAGGATAGCATGGGAAAAATGCTTTTTTTTTAATTGTCACTAAGAATTTGAGAAGCAGGAGAGAGAGATCATTCTGGGCTTTCCTGGACCACATGCAGGAGTCGGTATGTGTGCAAAAGATTTAGTGTATATTCTTTGTTGTCATAGCGATAGTGCCAGGGGAAAACTTAGGCAAGGATTCGTTAAAACGTGCTAAATATCACTGAATGACTTACACCTGCAATGACAGTATTAATAAAAAAAATAGCTGTCACATTTTATAAATTTTCCTGATGTCTTGCAGGTGAGTTTTGGGGTAGAGCCAGCAATGAAAAGATCTGTCTTAACTGAAATGAAAATTATTGCTAAGCCATTTTCTTTCAAAATACAGCAAAAACATAGTTATCAAATAGCTGTATGTGATGGATGCCTTTGCAAAACAAAGATTTACTGGATTTAAAGCTGTGGAATTACTGACTTACATTCTTGCCCAAAGCTGGGAAAGGCATGATATTTAGCATTTTTTAAAAGGTTTGACATTTTCCTTTTTAATAATCATAATTGACACTTCTGTTGCATTTTAAAGTTTGAAAAGTGCTCTACAGGATGTATTATCTCCTTTTCAGACAAAGATTTAAGTGCCTGCTATATACCAGGCACTGTGCTAAAATCTAGGGATACCAAGAATGACAAAATGCAGGCCCTGCTCTCAAGTTGTTCATACAAACATCTACAAAAAAGCAAGATGCATACAGGGTAAATTGGAATCAATCAGCAAGGGAAGGCACTAAAATTAAGGGGGATCACCTAGGTTTCCCATAGAAAATGAGGTTTGTTTTTTTTTTTTTGGCTAGGCAATGGGATTTGCCCAGGGTCACACAGCTGGTGCGCATTATGTGTCTGAGGTCAGGTCCTCTTGACTCCAGGGCTGGTGCTCTATCCATTGCACCACCCAGCTGCCCCGGAAAATGAGATTTTTTGCTGGGACTTGTACGAAGCCAGGAAGTAGAGATGAAGAAAAGCCTTCCAAGCATGGGAAATAGTCAGTTAAAACTCCTGTAATCTAGGACGATGTGTGCTAGAGAAAAGGAGAAATGTTCAGTTGACATAGTCATATATTTTATTACTTGAAGAGACCTCAGAAATAATTTTATAGACAAGGAAACTGAGGTCTAAGTGTCTGATTTGGTCAGAGTCACACAATTAGTGGAAACATCTGGGATATTGTTAAGTATCCTTAGGTTCTATAACTTGAACCCAGATTAGAATTGTTTTCTCACTCTGTAACCTTGACCAGCATAATAGAGTGGCAGTAGGTAGGTAGCATGGTGTAGTAGAATGAGGGCTGGAGTTTGGAGGGATAGAACCAGAGAACACAGTGGGTTCAAATCTTATGTCTGATATTTATTAGCCACGTGACCTTAGGGAAGTCACCTAGTGTCTTTGGGCCAGTATCCTCAAAATAAGGGTGTTGGACTAGATGAGCTGAAAGGGTCCTTACTACTCTAAATCTATGATCCTTTGAAGAGATTAAACGATAGAACTTCAGTCCAGTATTGAAAATGTGGTTACGTAAGTTATCTTTGTGCATACCTTAGTACCTTTCTGGACTCTTGTGAGTAATTTCTCCACTGGTAGAAATCACAGCCCATCAATGCTTTCTTAATCCTGTGTGATTTTTGTCCATACCTTCCGATAAATTTTCCATAGAAAATTTAACTAACATCCACCTCCTGATTTTTAACATTTTGTGAATACTAGCCTTGCGCTTAGGCTGGCCATATGTTAACATCCCTCACTCTTCATACTTGACCTTTTTCAATATCACCTTGCTTACATCTTTATTGCTCTTTGATGTCCTCAAGTAATCTCTAGCTGTTTTTATCTACTTACATGCACCATTCATTTCTCCATTGCCTTTTACATCACTCTGCATTTTGATTTTTCAGCTATCCTTAATTTGAAGCCATCTATGGGGGAAATATCAGTGTGTTTTTTTTTTTTAAATGAATTTTTGTGTCAGGGGACATCTTACAGGATTTTGAAAGTGCTGCTTAATTATTCAAATATAACCCAGGCGGTCCTCTTCATTGTATTCTGTCCTGGGCCTGGCTCATTGTTCAGCTGTAGTGCTTGCGTGATATATTCATGGGCTAACACAGTGGACTGTCTGTCTAACTGCCCGCCTACCTTCATCTAGACGATATAGATTCTTCATCAACTTGTTTTTTTCTTGTGTGACTTTCAAGGCTAATCTTTTTTGAATGGTCAGATCTCTTGAGGAGGAGACCTGTAGTGTTCTAAGATGATGCCATCAGTGCACTATCTATTATCTGCAAACAGTAGCACGTACATGACACCTTGCAGTTTACAGGAAATCTCTGCTTTATTTGGACCCTTTGCAGGGTGAACTCCATGACAGTAGTGTAAACCTTGGTGAGCATGCAAGGGTGTAGTGTGCTCTCTCATTTCTGACTTATTTATCATTGGTAATCAGAGCATCACTGAGCAAAATTATCACTGTGGTTGCAACTATCCAGGCTTCTTGTTATTGTATTAAAATATGCTTGAAGGACACCTTGTAGAAATAGAGCCTGTAAGGCTATATGTTGCCCTACCAAATCAAATGCTTTTTGTAATCAGCAGATCATGAATATGTCGTGTCTTCTTTGTACCTGCTAGACCGCTTAGTGATTGGCAGCGTGTGGTCTGCTGCACAGAATTATCTGCAAAAGCCTATCTCTTCCCTTCTCATATTTTAACAAAGATATTCTCTATATAGACACAGATCATTCTCATAAAGATTTTAGAGACATCAGAACATAGTAGGCATATCTGTCAGCTTAACTAACAACTTCTCATTCACCTTTCCTCTCCCCTTTGATAGTAATTTTTTAAAAATTGCTAATTCTCCGCCACCATATTGTTTTTCCCTGTATTATTTATTGCTGTTTTGTTAAGTGCTTCTGTTTTGTATCTTAAATCAGCAGTGTGAGATTTTCAGCCCACTGGCCACAAGCTGCCCCAAAACTCCAAGTGGAGCCAAAACAGGTTAAAATGTAATTGGGAAATGCTTAATAAAGTAAATAAAAGTACAGTACAACATAGATTATGTTAATATATAGCTTTCTAAATCATTATGCTGCCCAGCAGGATCCCTTTCTATTTGAGTTTGACACTACTGCCCTAAATTGTCATGGAGCTAGGATAACATGTCGCTTTACATAGCCCTGGAATCCAAGAGTCTAGCTACAGTGGTTTCTGGGATTTTTTGGAGGCCTCCATTTTGTGCTGCCTGTTGTATGTAGGTTGAATTTTCCTCAGAAATAGTGAGAACTATTAGTGAGAACAGGCATTGTATACATATAGACAATATGGTATAGTGGATAGAGACCTGGCCATGTAGTCAGGGAGGGCTGAGTTCAAGTTCCTATTCTGACACATATTGACTGTACTGTCTTGGGCATGTCATTTATTCTCACAATGTCCCCAGACAACTCTCTGATTATACATTGCAGGGAAGGCACTGATCTGCATTGGTCAAAGAAATTCTTCACTAGGAGCCCCCTATAGCAATGCAATCATAGGTCTGGTTATATATCTATAAAGCTGTGTAGCTGTAGTACTGTGGAAGCTAAGATTTAGTCCTGGTAGAGGCCAGTTCATTTTCCACACTGAATATTGTTCACAGTTACAGATCCTTATCAGCAATTTGAAAAGTACACACTGTTCTACCCAAGCACAGCATGGATGAGTATTAGATGAGTTAGTACAACTCACCTGATTATAGAAAACAGGGAGTGTGCATTCCTACTGGTTTCTTAGTTTAACTTTGTGTATTTATGTGTATATTAAGAGAAATATTGACCTGCAAGTTAACAAACGATTGACAGTGGATCATTGTAGCTAATTCAGTGAACGTCATCATTGGTCTTTCCCTGCCTTTCCCCAGGTGATACTCTCAACATATTTAAAACTTCCTCTTTACCATGTCTGACTTTATTTCTTCTCTTTTTGCTTGGCTACTTTCTGTCTGCCTTCTGCCTCCCTTTTCATTTTAATTTATGTGACTATAAGTTTTCCTCTTTTACTCTTTTATTGAGAACAGGGATTGATATGTGGGAATGACAATTCTTCCTTTTCACCCTCTTCCGCCATTGACTCCCAAGGGTTCTGAACTCTCCTTTCAGTCTTGGTAGGCCTTTTGATGGGTCATGGTTGTCACTGAGATATTGAGATTTGGGAAAAAATACAAATAACAAGAGGTGGAGAGAAGGCATGGAAAAACTGTTATGAATCATTCAGGAGACATTGTGGTCCAGTAGAAAGATTTGACTGTGAATTGACTTCAGAAATCCTGGGTTCGCTTCTGATGCTTACTACCTAAATAACCTAGCAGAAGTCACTTAACCTTTTTGTCTCCCTGTAAGACGAGGGAGGCTGGACTCCTAGGTGGCTGTCGAGGTCCCTTTCAGTCATACTTGATCTGTGGGGCAAATTTATTAAATGGACTCGAAGAAGAAGTTGAATAATGCCTTCCTTCATGCCTTCCCCTGTTTCTTCCTTATCACAAGTACTGGTTCAGAGGCTGGATTTCTCTATCTGAATATACCGTAAGCAAGGCTGACGTAACATTAAATTTCCTGCATTGGTTTGTCCTTTTTGGAAACAGGCAACAGCAGAAAGAAGATAATTTTGTTAAAGTCCTCAGCACAGTGAAAAGAAGCAATTTATCAGTCAAGGAGTATTTATTAAGTGCCTACTGTGCTTTAGGCACTAGAGATAGAAATAAAACAAGTGAGTTGATGGTAGTCATTTTGCTGTCATAATTGTGACCGTGAGCTCACTGTTGATGTTAGTAAGAACTATGTACACAAATATTGAGAACCATCTTAATGCCATGTGACTTCCAGTAGGTAGCCTTTTAATTCTTTTTATTTGCTCACACTGAATGTATTAAATATTTGCATCCATTCAGTGGGCTAAGTGCCAATTAAAACATTATGGCCAGCAAATGCAATATAGCCGAGTTAATATTGCTGTGGGGACTGGATGTTTGTTTCCTGAGTGCCTTTGTTTTGAAATTTTAATGTTCTGTTTAAACAACAACAGCATTTCTTTAGAACGTCTGAGTTCCAGCTTTGAGTTCCAGCTGAAAGCGGATCATTTAATCTCTAGGTGTCTCAGGTTACTCTTGAATATTAGTGTTGGGATTTGCCATCTCAAGCTGGATCTTGGAGAGAATATTTATAATTGCAATTTGAGCTTCTTAAATAAATATTTATTTCATCTGATTGCTGGCTCCTGCAGATTATTTTAAACAAAGACCCTCTACAGGGCTCTTGTAACATTGAAAGACAAAAAATAGAAATAGGACACATTGCTTTGTACTATTTGAAATACCCTTTTCTAAAAGAGTGATGAGCTTAGGGAGAAAGTAGGAAGTAGCCCTGGTTATCTGAGACTGTGTCCATCATTTGCTTGTTCTCTGGTTTTCATTTTAGGTTTCTCTTAGTCAAATTTAATTGTACCGAGCAGCAGGTCTGGTCGCTTTCTGTTTCCTAGTCAGTTTTATTGCTTCGTGATCTTGTCCTGATTTCATATGACATGCTGCTTTGCTGTCTTAAATATAAGTGCAAATTGTATGTATGTGCATGTATATGTGGATGTATTTTATCAGAAAGAAGAGGTCCAGAGGAGGTCAGAGAAGAGCTAAAATGGGCAAACTTGAAATATTCAGATGCATTCATTTTAACCCTATGATTTTTAGCATTGTAAGCTTATGTTGATTGTACTAATTCCTGATAAACACAGTTTTTCATCACTTTGTAGTAATAGTTGCTTCTAAGAATGAGCCATGAAACCATGACTGTGGCTTTGAAGTATATGAAGACTGCCCTGCTGTTCACTCTGTTTGCGTAGGCTCTTGCTTTATACCAAAGCAGATAGACAGATTATACCCTACCTTGCACAAAGGAAGCAATAACATAGTTTTCAATGGACCAAAGAGCTGGTTTGACTTTACTTGACTGTATATCATTAACTAAGTCATTTAGTCTCCTTGTATTCTAGTTTCTTAAACTTAATAAAAGAGAGGATAGAGGTGTTAACCAATGAAGTAGTGTTGATATGAAGAGGGATTATGTAGTTTGAAAGTACCTTGAAAAGATCCAGCATTTTAGAAATATTCAATGCAGTTTTCCTTTCTGCGTTTCTCTTGTAAGATTAATTCTACTAGAGCACCCTGGCGCTGTAGTTGGATACAATGTAAATTTTGTGACTTAGAGAAAATGTATGCTTGATCTCTGCTGGAAGGGTGACTTTGGGGATGTTAATATTTCTCCGTATTCAAAGTTTTCAAAACTTGATCTTTGCCCACACATTTCAAAAGACTCATTATTGGTTTCTTCTCTTTTTTCCCATCAGTTCTTCCCAGTTGCTACAAAACCACATATCCTTAGATAAAATATTGAATCAGCCAGAAGAAAACAGTGTGGGCAGTTTCTAAATGTTACAGTTCTAAATGCTAATTATTAGCACCACACAATCACAGATCATGGAATTTTAGAACTGGAAGGAAGGAACCTTAGTGATCATTCTCATTCTACAGATGGCAAAATTGGGCCATAGGAAGATGAAGTGATTTTGCCTAAGGTTACACAGGTTGTAAATGACAGAACCAGGATTCAAACCCAGATCTTCTGACTCCAAATCTTGTGGTCTTCCACTGTCTCATACTTTTTACCTAATAATAGTAAAATTTATAACAAAGTATTAAATATTGAGATAAAAAGGTGAATCAGTAGAAAGTGGCTTAAACAAATTTTCTAGGCCCTTTAGAACAATGTTTTAGGCACAGATAATTATGTAAGAAGTTTCCTGCAATCTAGTGGTCTATCTGGGACAGTAGCCCCAAGGAACGTCCTATAGGTCAGCTGCCACTCAGATTCTCTTGTGTATTGCTTTTGTAGTTCTGGGGTAGGGGGGGCATCGGGAGGAGAAATCCATATTTTAAAACAATTAACAGGCTGTGTGTCATTGTTAGTCATTTTTAAAAGGATGCAGACTGCACACATAGAT